AGCCCTCTGGTACAATTTCCATACCGTATGTTTGAATGTTTGAAAAATTGAGATCAGAGCTTCTGCCATTTGCCATTGGCTTCCCACATCATTGAATGTTCAATCCACAGGACACATTGCATTGCCACTTTGTGTCACAGCAATTTTCAGATCTGTTTCCTTAGCCTTTATTGTACTATCAGTTTATTCAGCTGTTTCTCATACCTTTTCAGGTACACTTTTCTGTTTTTCTTTTACTCATTCACAGCATGAGGGCATCACAGGCGAAGCTATCATTTATTGCCTAGCCCAAGTTGCCCAGAGGGCAGTTCAGAGTCAACCACACTGCTGTTTGTGTGGAATCACATATAGGCTAGACCAGGTAAGGCTGGGACTGCAACAGAAGGTGAGGAAAACAACAAGAAGGCAAAACCTCCTTAGACCTTGTTTTCACCAAACTACCTGTCTTAAATGCATCTGTCAACAGCAGCACATGTAGAAATGATTGTCACCACAACGACTGTGTGACAAAGTCTTACCTGCACATGAAGTTTCCATTGCGTTGTTTGGCATTACTAGCATGCTAAATGGGATAAAGTCAAACAAAACCAGCAGTTCATAACTGGGCATCAATGAATTACTGTAGGCCATCAGCAGAAGAATTTTATACGGTCACAGCCTGTAATCTCATAGCCAGGTACATACCTCACTCTACTGTTACCACTAAACCGAAGGATGTACCTTGGCTCCATGAAGTGTGCAAGACAGTATGCAAGGACTAGCACCAGGCATACCTCAAAAATAAGGTGTCAACCTGTTGAAGCTACAACTCTGAATAAACTTGTCTGCTAAACAGTGGAAGCAGCATGCAATAAGATAGAACTAAGTAATCCCACAACACACTGATCAGATCAAAGCTCAGCAGTCTTTCTGCATCCATTCTTGAAAGGTGGTGGATAATTTCTGAACTTAACAGACTTCCACAAATATCCCCATCCTAAATGATGGGGGAGCTCAACAAATCAATACAAAAGACCAGGCTAAAAATTTGCAGTCATGGTTAGTTAGAAATGTCAAATTGATCCATCTCGCCCTCCTAATGTGGGCCTCGGCATCACTAATGTCAGTTCATTCCACGTGATATGAAGAAACTGCTGAAGACACTGGATGCTGCACTGGCTACGGGCCCTTGCCACATCCCGGCAATAGCACTGAAGACTTGTGTTCCAGGATGAGCCCTATCCCTATACAAACCTTGTCCCTATAGCAATAACATGAACATTCATTCAAGTTTGTGAAAAATGGTCCAGATATATCCTGACTACACAAATTGGATAAGCCCAATCCTGCCAGTTACAGTCCTGTCGGCTTCCTCCTTAGTAATCACCATAGCGACAGATGTCATCTGTGCAGTTAAGTGGCACTTACTCCACAATAATCTGCTCACTTACGTTGTATTTGGCTGCTGACCTCATTATAACCTTCATTCAAAATAGCAAAAACATTTAACTTGAGAGAGGTACTTTATTGCGTACAGTTCTGGTCACTACACTACCAGAAGGATGTTGATGCTTTGGAGAAGGTACAGAAATGGTTTACCAGGATGTTGCCTAGTTTGGGGGACTTTAGCTATGAAGAAAGGTTGGATAGACTGGCTTTGTTTTCACTGGAAAGCAGGAGGTCGAGGGGCAACCTGATAGAAGTTTATAAGATTATGAACGGCATGGATAGAGTGGAAAGTATGAGGCCTTTTCCCAGGGTGGAGGCGTCAATTAGTAGGGGTCACAGGTTCAAGGTCATGGGACGGGGGGAGTTTAAAAGAGATGAGCAAGACAGATTTTTCACACAAAGGGTGGCGAGTGTCTGGAATGCACTGCCAGAGGAGGTGATGGAAGCAGACACAATAGCAACATTCAAGCAGCACTGGACAAACACATGATTAGGAAGGGAACCGTGGGAGACGGATCCTGTGAATGAAGACAGTCTTAGTATAGAAGGGCAAATGTGTCAGTGCAGGCTTGGAGGGCTGAAGGGCTTGTTCCTCTGCTGTATTGTTCTTTATTCAAGGTGACAGTCCTTGTCTTAGAGACAGCATTTGACACACTATGCACCTAGGACACGTGAAAATTGAAGACACTGAGTAACTCACCAGCTGACTACCCAGTGCTTGTCAACCAATTAAAAGGTGCAGATCAGGATTGTGATGAAATACTGTCTAGTTGCTTAGATGAGTGTCGCTCCCAATGTGCCAGGAGCTGACACCCTTAGGATAACAGATTCTTGATCATCACCCCATCCACCTTCAGCATTTACTTCCTCCACCACTGTGCGATGGCAGCTATACATACCTAACACAAGCTGGTCACCAATGATCCTTTGACTGCATCTTCCAAAGCCTGCGAGTTCCCATCCAGGCCACACATTATCTTGGCTTGGAAGTGTGTTGCTGATCCTTCATTCTCATGCAGTCAAGCTTTTGGAACTCTAATACTCCTGCATTCAAGAACAGGAGTAAAGGGTAATGGTAAAGTCACCGTAATGCTACCAGACATGAGGGCTGCTCTCTCATCAGAGAGAAACAACTGGTGATGGTTTAACCTGAGTGTCACCACAGCTCACGTGAGGGGAGATGTTGAGAAGAATAGTCCTTCGTGGTAACCTCAGCCGGTGCGGGAATTCAACTCGTGCCATTGGCATAAACATAACTTGTTTCAGTTGGTGAGATCAAGCCTCAAGTATTGAATCAAGTTTTTGTTCCCTTTATCAAAGAACAATATACGTGCCATAAAGGGAGTCCAGCAGGGTTCACCGGACTAAAAGGAATTTTAATCTAAATCTAAAAGGAATGCACCCTACAGAATTAATACACAGAATTGTGGATACTGAAGATCTGAAACAAAAACGGAAATTGCTGGAAAAAAACTCAGCAGATCAGGTGGCTTTCTCTCCACAGATACTGCCAGACCTGTTGAGTTTCTCCAACAATTTGTGCTTTTGCTA